AAGAAATAGATAATTTCTCTCTCTCTCTCTCTCTCTCTCTCTCTCGTGCTGGAGCTTGGATGCAAGGGTCATAATCTTCATGCTCTAAACACCACTACGCCGAAAGAAACGATCCAATCGATCAATTCATGCGAAACCAATTTCGCGGTTCAAATAATCGGCAAACATTCTCTTTGCACTCTCAGCATCGGAGGGCGGCGGGGGCCCACTTAAGCTTGATTGACCTGCTAATTTTAAGAACGTCCTACGCAGACGCCGGAGCTCCGGCAATCCAACTGGCCTTCTTATGTCAATGTGCAATCAACAAGTCAAGGTCTCAAATATGCAAAAAATCTTCAACATTCATCTCAAAACAAACTAAACCAAAACAAAGATAAATTTTGCATAGTATCAATCTTTGTATGCATGGAAAGAATAGAGAGTATGGCATAATAATTATCAATATTCAAGACAGTCCTCCATCCAAAACTTTCCTAAAAAGATGCCACTTGAGGCTGTCACTATGCAAAAGAAATATCATAATTATGAGGTTTGGATGCAAAAGTGATGGAAAGGAGCACAGACTCTTTGGAGATGCAAATTTAGCAATTCTTTCTTATCCAAATCTTAAAACTGCATCTTATTTAAAGTTGAGTCTACAAAAAAGGGGCATTTACGACACCTAAAAAAGATTGGGGGGACCTGGTAATATTTTGTAAAGGAAAAAGGTTATATAAGGTTGCAGTCTTACTTGTATAAGTAAGGTTGCTGTAATCGACACTTCGTACTTTATTTGAACAATATAGATCTGACACTATCTTAAAAGACATTCCTTTTTGACATTGTCTTAAAAGACGTATGAAATATACACCATTCAACTAAAATAGATGGCGTAGAACATTACAATTTTACTATTAGAAATTAGGTAATTTAGGTTGTCACTTTATACAAATCACACCCTTTTGTAGAAGACTGATTATCACAATCATACAATTGGTTCTAAACAACCTGATCTATTCAGAATGACAGAAATGCCCATCAGCTATACCTAATTTGTAACAAAAACATGTTTTAGCTGCCCTTAACTACAATAAATCCAACCCAAATTCAACCCATAAAGTAAACATTATAACCAATCCTGAAAATTGCAGTAACTCTGAGCTCCAAAAAGAAGGGGTATGTAGGGTATCCAGTAAAACATAAGACTTGTCTATATTGCTTTTTAAAGGACTAAATTGAGGAAAAGTGAACCATAAACCACTGGTGTATAACAATATGGTACAGCATAGGGGATTAACATTTGTTTCAGCAAACCATTCATCTAGTTGTGCTTAATCTGCACCATGGTGGGTGCTACTTCAGTGCATCGTACCAAACACGTGAGGAATTATGGCATATAGCTTGGAATAAATCAACATTTTCTGAAAATAAAAGGATATGGTCGGCAATTCATGGCCGAGATGAACCTCATTAACAGGTCCCCCAAGCCCTTGAGATTGTGCTTCTATAATGGCATTGATCACCTCCTGCATATCCCAGTAAAAATAGAAATGGCCAAGCCACTGAGAACTCAAAGAATAATACATCAAATTATTCGGAAGATGTTTGCTTTTGGGTACCTGTGTTGCTCTGTCCATCTCATAAAGCGAGTTGGCTTCAGAAGTACGTACCTGCAATTAAATAAACACAGCATATGCGAGATGAGAGGCACCATTATTCTCATTTGAACCTATGACATAAAGAGAGAAAGAGAGGACATACAGACTGAGTAGCAATTGTGGGCTGGAGTACACGGATGTCTTTGGTCTTTGAATCTGTCTTTCTTGTTAAGTATGACACGGCTTCTATAATGGCGGAAGATGATTCATTTATCTCATCTGGAAAATAAAATAAAACTCAAAAAATTATCAGAATCACAAACAACTTCTTACATATCTTAATCACAACATGGAATAAATGTATAAAGCTCAATTATCACAAAAAAAAAAGTTCTAAAGCTTGCTTGAAAGCTGGTACAAACTGCTAATATCACAAAGTTTCAGAAAACAAACTAAAGCTATGTACAAAATGCCTAAAAGTCACACACACACACACGCGTGCACGTGCGCATACACAGACTATTTTAATTCCTGAACCATAATCCCCAAGGAAACATCCATATTTAGAGATCCAATAGTATCAAGAACTCAGTCAATTGGGCGTCTTTCCATTCAAATATTTGAACATGGCCTCTCACATTATTCGAACTGAGTTCCTTACAGAACAATCGATGGATTGATCTCTCTCTCTCTCTCTCTTTCACACACACACACACGGCATGCATCCAGAGTAGATAGAGTCTCCTGCTAAGCTGGCACTTCCACATCTTACAAGCCACCCCATTTTCAAGTTCTACATCATTGGTGTTCTCCTAATAAATCTCTTTCTCGCACACACACACACACACACTAACATGCATCCAGAGTATATAGAGTCTCCTGCTAAGCTAGCACTTCCACATCTTACAAGCCAGCCCATTTTCAAGTTCTACATCATTGGTGTTCTTCTAACAAATCTCTCTCTCTCTCTCTCTCTCTCTCTCTCACACACACACACACACTCACATGCTTTCGCATGCATGCACCAGACAAAGATATCCATGGAATATAAGATCAAAAGATACAGGCACATACACGAGATGCCTTAATATCTATTAACATCTTATTATATATACTTATACTATAATATCAAGCTAGAGTTAAGGGTGGACACGCGTTGCAAGAATAAGAAGGGACCCTAATTTAATGGAACAGACTGCTAGGACATTAGATAAAAATCTACGACTGTTGCTATTGTCCTCGTTATGGCTTGAAGTTTTGTATTATGAGACAGTCTCATGTATGAAATCTCATGGTATATCCATTCTCCATATAGAAGAGATTGGATTCCCTACATCCTGGTGAAAAAAGAATTAAATATGACATCTGGATCACTTGAGAGCTCTTCACTCGAAAGTAAATAAAGCTTTATCATGTGTTTATTCGTTATCTATTCCACAAACACATGCACTTTCTCGTATTTGTTTTGCATGTATGTAGGGTTTCATGTTACCTAAGCCACATGCCACACCATGCATCAGATTACATAATATTAAAAATCTTGTATGTCTTCCATGCCTGCACTCACAATCAAAGTAACTCCTGAAAATGCCTTCTGACAACATAAATTCCGTAAGTACACAAATAAATAAATTTTTGCATGTTTTCTTCTTAATTTTAGTCCATATTTTGGTGCTGTATTCTTGTGAGTATACATACATTAGTGCTTTTATTCCACAACAGCAGTGTATGAAATCCTTCACCATCATTTGTTTTTGTCTTTTGTTATTTGTTTTTCATTTTTTGTTTTTTGTTTTTTTTTTAAACCATTTGTTAATGGTATGAAGGTCAAAAGGCAAAGCCTAGTCAATACATATGCAAGCCTTCGCAGCATTCTCCCATATGCATTTGAGATGATGTATCATAGGTTCATAGCCCAAACTATTACATAGGGAACCCAAGTGGATATCTTCAATAGTGCCAACATCTAATGAATTTTCAGGTCCATCCATTTTCTTGCGAAACCTTTCTTTGTGTTTATCTTAGTGCACCAAAACATGAGTGAATCACTATACGAGAGCCACAAGAGAAGAATATCCGAAAAGGGAACATTAATTTTCAACTTGTTGAAATCTTTTTCATAGATCAGTACAGAACAATGGAATGACATCAACTGTACATGGCTGTTGAAGAGACTGAATACTCAAGGAGCAGAGCACATGTGTTCAATAATATCTTTGCCGTTGTTAAAATTATGTATTGAAGTTCATGACACAGGTTTTGTCCTGCATATTTGAATGTCGTGATAGTAACTTCTCACCCTCTCAAAATAGCGAATGTGATCCCTGCATCAAGGGAGATGGGGAGTCAAGAAGTACTTAGCATTTATATTCTGCAACACCACTAAAGCGCCCCAATCTCTTATGTAAGGTTCAATGCGATATCATCTTTCTTTGCGTGAAATACATGTGCCTATTTTAAGTTGCATATGTGCTTGTGTCAAAAGCACTTACAGATAATGCTCGTCTCCTAAGCATCTGGTACAACTATAATGGATAAAGAGAGAGAAAGTGTATGTGTGTGAGAGAGAGAGAGTAGACTTATTCACAGGAGACAGGACAGAAGGAATCATCCATAATCATATCCACTAATGAGGGTGCATGAAAGTATTACTTATACATAATGTGACTCAATCCATGCCTTTTCCCTGATCTTATATGTCAACCCATGTCAAAGCTTCCTGGCACTCCTCCACTTCCTTAGAAGTAAGAAAAATGTCACAAAGACGAACAAATTAGGCACTAGCCGACCCTCCCCAAGACGTGTAGACACTTCTAACATGAGGGGTCTGCCTACAACATATTGTATTAGTTCATGACACTTGACTGCAATGCCCAGAGCTCTGTGAACCTTTTGCGGAAATGTAGGACCGTTGGACTCTTTGATGGGAGTGTCAAGGATCTGTCAACTCTTTCATAGGTGTCACTTATCAGAGTTATCAAGAAACATTGCCGAGTCCCGACATTTCTCTTAAAAGATCAGACACCTTATCAGAACTCTCAAAACTTGCAACCAACACGAAGAGTAGTATCGAGATGAAGTTTTCAAATTCCTTTAATTTATGACTGTTTATAGTATTTATTTCTTTTGTATATTTCTGTATTTACACATGTATGTCGCCATGTTAGTATTTTTGGGTTTCTATGTCAGACACCCACTACATGCATCAGACGTAACACTCGCGTCAGTAACAAGTTGAAGTTTTCAAGTTCCTTTAATTGTGAATGTTTAAATTTGAATGTTCTTCATATATTTATATTGTTCTACATACGTGCTGCCATGTTGGGATTTTTGGGTTGCCATATCAAACACCCACAACATTCATGTCAATGTCCATTCAACATTCATGTCAATGTCCATGTAACACCACTTCGCACCAAAAACAGCAATCTTAGAATTTTGGCCATTTTTGAAAGAGCCACGAGAATAAAATGTTACAGAGATTTTCACAATTACCCGAAACATTTTATTGACTAAAAATTTGATTACTATGTTTGTTTTTTATTATTAATTTCTCCATCTAAATCCAAAATATAAACCAACAAGTTCACCTTAAACACCTAAAAAGCATTCTTCTCAATTCAAACATATTCATGTTTTTTCTAAGGCTAGGTATGACTTAGCATTGTCTGAAACTACCAAAGGGACAAACACTTTCACACAAGCTTCTTAAAGAAAAAATTACTACTCGGCTAAAGATTATAAACACAAATATAAAAAAAGGGGTGCGGTTTGTATAGAGCCTAGGCTCTAAACGATCAAATTAGAGCCTACCTACAAATAGTGTCGAGAAATGTAGTTTCAACATTGGAAATCTTTGTGATAGCCTTAAAATATATTTTTATCTTTATTTATAAATTTTAAAGTTTCAAAAATAGTGTAGATCGACAGATCTATGAAAACTTGAAAATCTTGAAAATTGACTGTCCAAAAATGCATTACGCAATACACTATTTCCAAAACTTGAAATCCATTTTTTCTCATGTCCATGTATCTTGATGTCGAGAAGATCAATTTGAGGATATTTGGGCATCAAAACAATCTCTTCTAGTGAAATTTTTGAGGTAGGCTCTAATTTGACTGTTTAGAGCCTTGGCTCTATATAAACTTTTCCCTAAAAAAAATATCCTTGGCAAAAAAGCAAGAACATAGAAATACTTACCTTCAGGAGGCCGTAGTTCAAAAAGTGGGGAATCCCAACGGTTGCGCCTATCAGGCTTCTCGAATCTCCTTAGTAAATCATCCATTCTGTTAAGCAATTCACATATTTCCATGTTAAAACAAGGGTGCAGTTGGCATACGGATGCATCCGTACCTGTAGAGGTAAGGTGCACCTTCAAATTTTATCATGGTATATAATTTTGATGTAAAATGTTCTTAGGATTATCTCAAAATCTATTTTTATATCTAATTATAAAATTTTAAATTTCAAAAAAGGTTAAAATCAAGTAGATCTATAAACATATGAAAATCTTGAAAATTGACAGTGCAGATAATATGTTGTAAAATGCACTATTTCTGAGACTTAAAATCTTTTTATTTTTCATGGTCATACATCTCGATGTCAAATACATCTCGATGTCAAGATGATCAATCAAAAGGTTTTTCAACATTAAAACTACCTTTCCGATGGTA